TTTAAAAAGCGCTTCTCAGCCATTCCAGACTAACATTACATGCCAGAATAATAAAGTGGTGAACATTGGTATATTGCAGAAAACGGTGCAAAATAAAAATTAAACCGTTTGCAATAGCCCTTACAAGTTTTTTTCTTTTCAAAAAGGCTTAACTGGAAATTTCTGTTCTTAGTCGCACTAGATATTCGATGAGGTTTTTTGTATTTGCGGTAGGAAGTCCGTTTTCTAATAAAGTAAATAGATTTTTTTCAAAATAGGTGAGGACAAAGAAGAACGTTAGAAGCTTACCCGTGTTTCAACTCTGCGCGAGATTGTCTGCACAGTTCCATCTGGTGCGATAGCTGTTGTTTCAAATGTTGTCAAAGTGGTTGGATAATCACGAAGCATCGTGTCCATTTCACCACCAAGTGAATCTTTATCATCATCATCATGTTCTTGGTAGGTTTCCACCTAAATTTTGCTACTCATTTCTCTTCCTTGACATTGAAGATGCTGTGGAAGTACGGGGTAGTTAAATGTCATAAAATAAGTAAAATACTCTTACGGTGTCTCCGCTAAGCAATGCATGTGTGTCCTGGCTAGTCATTTCTTGGCTGGCGCCCTCAAGCAGAGAATCTCGCTCATGGTGTATGTTCTCTAATGAATCTCTTACGCTGTCATCAAGACGGGTGATTACCTGAAACAATTTTTTAGCGTTAATAAATCCGGCGATTATTCGCAATAGAAATGGATTCAACTACGTTCTTCCTATGTGTCTAGAAATTTGCAACGCCTGAATAGCATCTATCTCGCTGGGTTTCCGCTCTATGAATCAAATCCACCTACGCAATGCTAGAAGTGTTCAAACCCATTTTTGAAAGCCATTTGGCTCGTTCTCGGGCAACTCCTCAAGGTAAACAATTGATTAGTGATAGAGCACAGTGCTAATGCTAACCAATCAATACTTCATTGATAACAAACCTTTAAACTTTAAAGTAATGGCTGAAGGCGATTCTGCACTAGAGTTTAGGGGGTTAAACATTACTATGCTTCTGGTATGCCTACACAACCCACAAGCTTGAGGATGCACTTGAAGTAACCATAATACTAGGTGACGATACGTAAACAGATCTTCCGCATTTTCTACGCATGGTGTATACCGAAACATCGTACTACATTGCAGGCTTTATTCAAGCTACTTTCAACCTAAAACTGTTCCAAACAATCCTCTAGCTCGCCTACTGGCTTTGGTTTGGTTTATGACAAGGAAGGGATCAACGGTGATGGCATGGTCTTCTACTGCAATAATCCGTTTACGACAATGAAGTGCGAAGAGGCAGCCGTTTGCGCGCCCCAAAGTTAATACCGCATCACAACGGCATGGATTACTGTAATAGAAAACTATGCCACTAGCGTTACTCCTTTCTT